GGCCGCTCAGCGAAAATGAAACACAGTATTGTAGTCCCCGTGAGAGCCCCTACAGCATGCAAGGAAACCGTTTTGAAAAAGCGCTCCACACCCTGAACGACCTCCCTTGTTAGTGACGTCGTACTCTCTCGTTGTTTCGTCATCTCACAGAGCTGCATCTCCTTGATACTACGGTCGTTCTCCCGAAATTTCGGTGTTCCCTTCGGATTTTTGCTTTTTTTCCTAACGATCACTTCGCACTTCTGATTAACACATAACACTCTAATTTGATTGCGCCTTCACGGCGAATGCAGTTGTGTGAGCCTCACTTCAAAGGCCAGATAGACCTGGGTGACCTTCTCTGGTTTGTAGAGTATCTCTTCAGGACAATCTTGTCAGTTTTACGAAAAACCTATGGATGTGTTCAAGTTTTGCCCATAATTGAGCACACTTGTGAAACTTTCGCAACGCGCGCAGTGGTGTGCTTGAAGCTTCATTAAACACCATTATAAATGACCCCTGATGCATGTTTTCGTCAGACGGTGTCATTTGTCTTCTTTGTGTCTAGAGCTAGAGATTTTCTAAACATTATCCCACAAAATGTCGACAAACTGCCAATTCTCATGTTTTACATTATGCTCTCTACTAAAATCAAAAAGAATTGTTACAATACCTGTTTCATCTATCTTTCTTAAGCAACATCCTGCTACAAAACTACATGGGACTTTACCTCGCTGTGCAAATCGTACCATCCTGTGCACTAGGTATTGCAATGGACTTCTGGATATACGAGGATCGGAAATCAAACGAGTGTGTTTCGAATGGTTTATGCCATTAAATAAACCAATTCTATGGGGCCACTTACGCTCACAATTAGCTGCCTTATATGATCAGTTAAATAAGTAAGCCCTTTCACAGCCCGCCGCACTTCTCCTTGTGTCTCATCTCTGGTATTTACGTAGCTTCGCTTGCGCTTCTCGGGCGTGGCAAAGCGTCCTTTAGTCAACTCTCGCTTTTACTGTTGCGTTTATTCTCTTGTCAGGAAATCCAAGGGCCAACATCCGCGCTCCATACGTCACTGCGATCTTCTTATACGATCCTCTTCTGTTTTGGTTAAGGCCGGCATTTCAAATCGGTACAATAGGACGTATCACGCAATTGTGAAAGAAGCGTCGTTTGCTCATGAGCGTCGCCTTCGCCTTTTCAATATAATATAGAATCGTCTGTTGATGCTTCACACAGCGCTGAGCTTTCGGTAGTTTCTTATCCACGATTCTAAGATGCGACAAATTGTATGTGGGGGTCTTGGAAAATAGCAAATGTGCTTACCATAAAGAATATCTGTGCTTCAAGACAAAATATCGGCGCTATCGTAGGCTAAGTACGCGCCCGTAGTGACATGACAAAGCCTTTCCCATCCCTGCCAATGCCACATCCCTCTGAACGCCCACTGATTTACTAGTCCAGCTGGTGTCACTCGCCATTAGTCCCTAGCGCTTTCGCGGAGATGTAGGACAAAGCCTTTACTTGGCCGTTTTGGGTTCTGTTCTTCCACACAAATTGATAACGTTGTCCCAAACTTTTTACTACAGGAGCACTTTCTGCGCAGTAGCAGCACCCATGGAGGGTGCAAAATTTTCGGTGTTGAACAAATTGTTTATTATCAATGGTATTCTTATCATTGCGTGCTATACCTTGTTTATACTTTATGTGCGGAGAATGCGTCTCAGTAAGTGTTTTTTATTGCTTAATAGAATAGAATCAAAAATTAACACTCACCATCAGGTTATCGGAAGAGAAGTCTCTTCCAATTTAAGTGAACTGCTACCTTTCTATTAAGTTAAGCAAAAACTATTTTCATTTCATTTTCAAACTAATTTTATTTTCTAAACTGTTTTCATTTCGCTCATAAGTTTATTAACAAAACCAAACAAAAACAACAATAAATGCGTAATCAACAAACGCTCTCGAACAGTCCTCTCTGCAACCGTGCCTTCATCCCAGGCTTCATTGATTCTACGAGCAGATGCAGAAGCATTCGGTTTCGAGCTCAACTTGCACTCATGTAGCAAGCAATCTTTTTGCTCGCGTGTAAGCTCCAGAGTGAAGCAAATACACAAGTGTTGTACATCAAAATGTACAAAAATGTACGCTTCCAGACTACATCACAACCTTTGAAAAGCAAAATTTCAAAGAGCCATGAGCTTAAAAATGACAGATGATTTTTGCTCAGCCTAATGTGTTGTTTTAGTCAGGTTACTAGGTCGAACTTCTTGCGCTTTTCGACCTTGATTTTCAAATGCCTGTATCTCGGCTCATTCGAAACCTTTTTGATTGGAGTAAAGACTGTTAGAATCCACAAACCTCTGCCAATAATAGCTGCGTTGAATCAGCCCGGTAGTGCAGAAAACTGGAGCTCTAGAAGCA